CTCTCTCTCTCTCTCTCTCTCTCTCTCTCTCTCTCTCTCATTGATTGTTGCTGTCCTTTCTCCGTAAACATCACACTCTTAGATCTACAAGGATAAGATAAAGAGAAGAAGGTGATGGTGGTATGACCGACCGAGATCATGGTAACGATCGGCCATCCCCAGTGATAAATTCTTATTATGACAATACAATGTATTTTTAAAAATCTAGCCCATCCCTTACAGGGCCTCACACATCTCACACAATACAGCACGCCGCCAGGAACGTGAACATGTCACGCGGGAAGACGCGCACCAGTTGATTGGCTCTGTCTCTCCCTCCCTCGGCCTACTCCATCCTGTACGATTCGACTTTCTACGCACACTCGGCACTAGGGTAGCTATATCGCTGTCAGTGTGGAGCTGGCTGCTAGGCTGGGCTTGCACCCGGTTTGGAAGGAATCGGATTTTTCAAACATCTGGATCTTAATCTATTTGTCATTACCAGTTTCATTAAAAGAGTCTCGACCTTATTATGGGAACAAATTTGTCTTTCCTTCTCTCTCTCTCTCTCTCTCTCTCTCTCTCTCTCTCTCTCTCTCTCTCTCTCTCTCTTTCTCTCTCTGTCTCTGTCTCTCGTACACAATAAACTACACGATCTAGCAATTATTGCTACAATACATAATATCAAATTTGACACACATGACTATAATATACAGGATCCAACGCAGAATAGCCCATCCCCTCCCCCTAACGAAATAAAAACAAACAAACAAAAAACAAACAAACGTAAAAACCCAACAAAACAAACATAACATCATTGCAAGAAAGTAAACAATTTAAAATTCACCCCTCCTTCTCAAGCCATGTCCGTCCGCGGAAATAACACCACAGACAAGTATAGAACATCGCAGGGTCGCCAGCTAATTTACTACATGTAGTTACTACCAGTACACCGACTCGGTAATCATTTAGAAAATAACCGGTTAACCACATTCATGAAAGCGAATTTTTCTGGCTCAGGCCTGACCTTTCTCATTAACAGTCACTGTCCTAGTTATAAGACGAAAATTGCGAGCCGCGAGCCGCGAAACACGCTGACCTGAATGAAACCTTTGTTGTTGCTGTTGATAACATTCCCTTGTGGTGTGGAAAAGGAAAGTCACAACACTAGCATTCGAACAAGATGGCTGACAAGATGGCGTCAATCTACGCGTCTTTAGAAAACGGGGTCAGTCGTAGAATCAGGAGGAAATAAAAATAAGGGGTTGGGGG